ACCTATACGACATATCCTTCGAGCGCGCCAAGCACCTTCTATTAATGGGAGAAAGGATGAGGGCAAGTATTGGGAGAGGAACTATGTAGAATGCTCTAGAAGGACTGAAAGTGTTCCATGATTGACCAAGGATTGTTCTCACCTTATTGTTTATGCTTTTCCCATGCTATTGTTAAAGATTTTCCCACCCCTTGTTCTTGATTTCACATGCACTTTTGTTTTCTTCCATGTTTTTCTCGCCTTATTGTTTACCACTTTCCCATGCCTATTGTTTTGGCTTAGTCACCCATGTTCTCAAAGCTTCAGGGATTGGCTGGAGTGGGATGACTCATACCACTCTCTCACACTATTGTTTACCTTTTCTCACACTATTGTCTCCTCCCAAGTATCTTCCCACCCTATTGTTTGTAATTTCAAATTACTGTAGGGTATATAAGGAGCTCAGTAGAGGATCAATCTATCTGGGATCCCCCAATAAAGCTATTTGCCTGTCAAGTCAATCAGACCTTGTCCCTACTGTGGGATAAGAATTGTCTGGACTCTGATTGTCTGAAGCACCTCAGTGTAGGGAAGGACTGCAGTACTGTCTGCTGTCTGCTTCAGTTAGCTTAAGTCTGCTAGCAATATAAGATTGGGTTATTGGAAGTCTGCCATTAGACTCCTGTGACCTGTGTTAGCTCACTACCTTCATTCTCAGCTAGACTCTAGTAGTCAGCTACCTATTTGGTATCTATCAGATTACCACCACAATATAAGGGTCTGTGTTAATTGGAAACTCATCCTACCTCTTGAACACAAGGGAACTGCTCAACCAATGTTAAATCCAGCATTCTCTTGGGGAGCTTGATGACCTTTCCGCTTAGTAAATTCTAGGTGGATTTATATCCATCGCAAGTTCTGCTGACAAGGGGCGGGGTGTATCAGCACAAGCAGGTGTCATAGTGAGCTTGCAGCACTGAGGTGAACAGCCCCACAAGTGCCATCCGTCTGCGGCATATCTCTCTATTACTCTGTACATAGTATATCAAGACCATTGTTTTTGCAGATGGTACTTAGGAAGGTATACTATGATGCCTGAGTGAAATAACAGGAAATGATGGAGAAGGTGGCCTTTGGCAGGTCATATTGTCAAGTTTTTACAAAACCCCTCCAATGATAGTAAACAGCAGGAATAATAACTAGTGATGTGCTGATAAGCCTCAGGGTTGTCTGACCCCCTAAAACGCAGACTCAGCACATCGTACAAGCCCTCCACAGCTTATTCGACACAGCGCTCACATGCCTCTAGGCTTCTATGGGCTCTTTCTATTTAGCTCCGGACTTCCCAGCATCCCCGAGACGTACACAGACCCATTCCGCGATTTATCTCCGCAAACGCGAGCTCCGGGGTGACTTAACCTATGCAACTTCTAGATGAATTAGCCCCGGGGCCCACGGGCACTTCTGTCGAGGGGCGTCATCCTCATGCCCACCCTCCAGCACTCCCTCCCCCTCGTTTCCATCAAGATACTGAAGGTGCGGATGTATACGAGTCACCATAAGGTCAGCATCAGTCAGCAAGCAGCCGGAGGTAATTAGCATGTGATCGGCGCGTCGCACGGAGTGATGGGACTGCTTGGGTCAGGTGGCGGAGCATCAAGGCGACCTATAGGGGCTGGGACGAGCAAGTGGGAGTGCAAGGGAGTTGTATGGTGCATGATATAATGGAGGCAAGTGCTGAGCAATCCTGTGGTTAGCAGCGTTTATTTGTTATTTATCTCTGGACGGTCGCAAAGCCATTCCTGTAGTATAAATTGTACAAAGTAGCATACAGAAAAACAAATTTTGCACTTCACCATCTCAGAGAATTAGCGTTACGATCTCAGCGACCCGATAAGTTTGAAAGCGTCGAACTTAGCGAATTATAACCGATCCTAGCTTTGCCAATAGGCCTGACTCGTCGAGTAAATTATCTCCGCCATCGATTCAATTAGCTCCGGTGAGTCTCACATAGCGAAATAAAATTGAACATGTCTTTCTAGCGTTTCCTACTCCCGTGGGCCCGAGCCTACACTCGGTTCCGTGGTTTGCGACTTTCCGGAGATAAATACTCCGGAGCGTCCATTAGTGTTTGTTTCAGGCGTCAAGGTTTTTGTTTTATTTTTCTAGGTCTTCCTACGGACTACCCTACGGCATCTTACTCCTCCTTTCCCCCTTGAACTATTAAATACCCTTCAGTTGTCTCGGACCGCCTTCACCCATATCATGGGGTTTAGGTTTATTTCTTTTGGTCCTTGGTGATTGTTGTGTGTCTGTGCATATCAACGTTATCTCCCTTGACTCACCTTCTATCAATGGCGCCCTTGTATTTCTCATTTCTCTGAGTTACGTTCTCACAGGATAGCTTACACGTCCTTTCTTATTGTTCTCTTCTTTGGGTATTAACCCCTATACCAGTTACTATATATACTGTAGGAAAACCCATGTATTTCTTAGTTCAACCTCCTGTTGAATACAGCGATTACCTGGACTCTTGACTTGACCGTTGGCATTGGCCCGGCCAGACCTACCTTTCAGTACGCTTACTGAGGTAGTGACGACATAACTGTTGGCACGTGGCCCAGTTATCTCAAGACGACTAGTTAGGACATCGCTTCCTAACAGGCCTGACTTGTCGAGTGATTTATCTCCACTGTCAATTTAATTATCTCCGGTGCATCCTACATAGCGAAATAAAATTAACCCAGTCTCTCTAGCAATTTCTACCCCTGCGAGCACGATCCTACAACAGGCATCGTTGCTTGCGACTTTGATTGCGACTCTCCAGAGATAAATACTCCTGAGCGTCAACTAGCATTTGTTTTAGGCGTCAAAGTGTTTGTTATATTTTTCTAGGTCTTCCTACGGACTACCCTACGATGTCTTACTCCTCCTTCCCCCTCGAACTATTAAAATACCCCTCAGTTGTCTCGGACGGCCTCCACCCATACTGCTGGTGTTAGGTTTATTTTCTTTTGGTCCTTGGTGATTGTTGTGCGTCAGTGCATATGAGTGCACTTGCACAGAGTTGCTCGCAAAGCATAACGTGGTGTGGCGCGACACTTCATCCTGTTATGTGGCACAGCTGGTGCACCATGCACACCAACCTTGCATTCATACAACTTACTGTATTTCATGGCATGTTTTGTGATAGGTAGGGTAAGTAAATAGGTATCATTGATTCTGGAACCTTTCCAGCTCAATCCGAGGATATCGAGGATATTTAAAGCTCCGTAGCAACTCATAGCTGGTGCTTGGTCTTTTTGGGTCCCTCAGCCACTGGGAGTAGAATTTGTACATGTCTGTCACAGACTTCTGCCCTAGTGAAGAATTGCTCACTTCGCTCACAATAATTGTGCCCAAATCAGGGCCTGGGGATCTATTACATGAGATACTTGCCATAAATGGAGTGCTGTGCTGGGGGTGAAATAACAAACCCTCCATTCGTCTGTTTGTCTGATTGAGCACATCAAAAGAATGAGGAAGCAATGATGGCTGACACTGGGTACAATACCCATATTGAGCCACCGAGCAAGTGTGAAAGGAATCGGACAAAGGTCAAAATTTGTTCATAGTGTTACCTTGCAAAACAAATGAAGGTTCAATGAACAGTGCTGAACAAAGATCATATCCTGTGTCACAATCGAATTTTTGTGCACTCAAAAGTAGTATGATTCTAATTCATTTCACTGACTGTGCAATGGACAATCATGAAGAAAGTTTGACCTTTGACTGATTATTTTCAAAGTTTTGTGCATGCTCAATATGGGTGATGTACCCAGTGTGAGGACCCTGGATAATACCAAAATAGGTTGGATACTGAAGCAGCTGATTTGGGTCGATTTTACCCAGGATCAATTTTAACCAAATCCGGCCAATTTTACCAGGACTGGAACCCGACCTTCCCCCCTGTCCTCACTTTTACCGGGATGCGGTATCTGACCATGAACCCCAGAAAATATTGATTAAGTATGCAAAAAATTTCATGGATCATTAGAGCGTCATATATGACTTCTAGGACCTTCTTTGGATGGTTATACAGTCTATTGGCGCAAATACTACTTGTTTTTCATATGCTGTGGCACACGCACGGCCCAATGTGGCTTCATGTAGCACAGCCTTTTACCGGGTTGGTATCCAACCCCCCGGCCCAGCGGGGTACATTACCGGGACTCCGGAACCCAACCTCCCTGTGGCTGAAGGTGTTTCTTACCGGGACTGTACCTGACCCTGGGGTCCCGGGAGCTCCGGTTTTACCGGGACGTGTATCCAACCTACCTAGGTAGCGGCAGGCATTGAGCATTTTCGTGGCTAGTTATGTGGACGAAATCTGTCGACATAGATTACATGCTACATTATTCTCCTCATAGCAATTTTGAGATATATGGACCAGGTACAAGATTGTACAGTAGGGATATATGACAGATTGACTTTTGTAAATGATTGTGGGGCTCACAAAAGATAATCTTTATTGAGAATTTCGAAGCTTGTAATATATATTTTCAGCAGTATTCTCTTTGTTGATACATTATAATTAAATCTTATAGATTCCCTTTTGACACTGGAGGATTTATAATCTTTAGGGCTGAGCAGAAGGTTGTATGAAAGGGAATTCCACAGGCTCTGATTGGCTGGGAATTCCCTTTCATACAACCTTCTGCCCAACCCTAAAGATTACAAATCCTCCAGTGTCAAAAGGGAGTATAAAAGATTTTAATTATAATGTATCAACAAAGATAATACTGCTGAAAATATATATTACAAGCTTCGAAATTCTCAATAAAGATTATCTTTTGTGAGCCCCAATCTTTCATATATCCCTACTGTACAATCTTTTGCTAGGCCCAAAAGAGTGTAACTCCCAAAGTGTGCAGAGAATGTGGCGCAAGTTTTTGAAACTCCGCGCGGATAGTTCCGATTCTCTCCAGAGGGGATGGGTACGAGACTACTCTTTTGGACGCGCTCAATCGAACGAACAGACGAACGGACGAACGAAATAAGAATTGTGCAGCACTAGTACTTGGTCGCAAGACCCGCTCCCCCAAGGTAGCGGGAATAATAGCAAAACCAAGCTGTCCGAAGACCTGAGTACTGACGCTCATCTTCCGCAGATATTGGCAAGATCGCGAATGACGTGATACATAGTCCAAAGCCTAGCACAGTCAGCTTGTTTATAAGCCGACCTAACGTCAGGGATGGCAGCCTGTGTAACTTGCTTAAATCCTTCAAGACGGCTTCAGTATTTCGCAGGTTTAGACATTCAGCGATGAGCAAACGCGTTGTAGTCGTCGGCGGACATGGACAGGTGCGTGCCCTCTACGGCAGTCGAATCTTTCTTGGGCAATCGCACGAGACAGCTGGGCTAATCTTACTGATCCAAAATCACAGGTTTCCCTCCGTCTTGCTCACATTATCGGGCCTACAAACTCAGTAACGTCCATCATTCGCAAGCCCGAGCAAGAAGCCGACATCATTGCGGCGCACGCTAAGCCGCACATCCTCTCCTTGGAAGATGCCCCTGCGGCCGAGTTCACCAAGGTGTTCGAGGGCACCGACGTGGTGTATTTCTCTGCAGGTGCGGGGGGCAAGGGCGGACCAGAGAGGACGAAGAAGGTCGACTACGAGGGCGCACTGAAGGTGTTCGACGCGATCGAGGGCGTGCAGGGGAAGAAGCCCAGGTTGATACTCGTTTCTGCGGTGGATGTGAGGGACCCGGAGAAGATACCGGAGTGGTACAGTGAGCCCTTCTTGATATTTCGCGGCCAAAGGGGTGCTGACTGAATGGGGCGGTCTCATAGATGAAGAGGACTTGGTCGTGTCCAAGCGAGTGCGGGGAGCGATATCCACCTACATGCACTGGAAATACGAGGCCGACAAGCACCTCGTCCAGCGCACGGCCTTCTCATGGACCATTTTGCGTCCTGGCGGACTCACCAACGAACCCGGGACTGGCAAGGCCGATATCGGGCGGACACATATCACCCGCACGATTTCTGTAAGCTTAGGAGTCATGATTTAATCATAAGATCGCTCACGAACGTTGTTGGACAGCGCGACGACGTTGCAAAGACACTTGCACTGTTACTGGACAGACCCGATGCGGAGGGCCTAGCACTTGATTTAGTCGGCGGAGACGCGCCTATTGAGGAGAAGCTGGATGTAGCCATCAAGAGTAAAGTAACTGCGTGGATAGGATAAACGAAGCACGCTGAATGAACGAAACCTATACAATGTTGCTGAAAAAGGCTCTGTAGTATAGCTAATGTCCAATATGCTAATGTACAATATTCGATTCCTCGTTCACTTGTTCGTGAGGAAAGGCCGCCGAAATTTCAGCCACAATCAAGTACAAATAACCTAAGGCTTTCTAAGTTTTCGATGTCTCTCAACATTGGGACATTGATTGATATGCATGCAGACCTGTCCCATTACCCAGCGCCTTTGAACTACGCTCATTTGGTCCAGGAAATACCATTTTGGGTTTATGTTTTTCGAAGAGATTCCAGAGATTGATGGTAAACGTGATCGATAGATAATCCTGCCCTAAGCCCACGTGTGACTCGTCGCGTTAAGCTCAAAAGGCGTCAAACAAATTTCGCCACCCATCCTCCTCCGTCCTCTTTCTTTACGACTCAAAATGGCCTCCATCGGCACTCTCTGGACGATACCCCAGTTCGACAAGGGCAAGCGGGTCAGTATTTGCGCGGATAATCACCCCTTGAACTCTGTATTCAACCGATTTTTTTTCGACCAGATTCGGGCGGTGGCCGCCTATGCTGGGCTGTCCGTTGACTTGCCCGAAAACTACGTCCACTTCGAGTCGAACAAGCAGCCGGAGTTCCTGGCAAAGTTCCCGCATGGAAAGATCCCTGCTCTGGAGACGAAGGACGGCTTCAAGCTGTTCGAGACAGCAGCTATCGCTCGTTACGGTGAGTCTTTGTTACCGCAGTGAAGGGGTCCGCTATTATGATGAGATACAACCATATTCAGTTATCCCTGTCTTAATCGTCATGTCGATATTTCGAATATCTGATAATAGCCCCTTTTCATGCTGTTCTGCGTTGTGCAATGAACGGCCATGCTGATCTGATTTCTGTCCAGTCGCCACCCTTGCCCCCAACGTCCCTCTCCTTGGCTCCACATCAGAGGAGGCTGCGCTCATCGACCAGTGGGCGTCTTTCGCCGACGGCGAGGTCGGTCAGTGGACCATTCTCATCTTCCAGCTCGTTAAGGGCATCATCCCCTATAACAAGCAAGTACGTATCTCAACGACCATCCCATGCAATTTGCCTAATGTGCTACCCACTAGCACCACACCATCTTCGCCGAGCGCCAACTGCGATCCCTTGAGACCCTCGAAAAGCACCTCGCGACTCGTACCTTCCTCGTCACCGAACGCATCACCCTCGCCGACATTACCCTCGCCTCCGTCATCTCTCGCGCCGTGACCGTCACCATCGACGCGGAGTGGCGCGCCAAGCTGCCCAACGTCATCCGCCTCTTCGAGACCGTGATCAACCAGCCGAAGCTCAAGGACATCTTCGGTACGCCCGAGTACGTCGAGAAGGCATTGCAGTTCGTGCCCCCGCCCAAGGAGAAGAAGGAGGCGAAGCCCGCCGCAGCTGCTGCCCCGAAGGCGGAAAAGAAGCCGAAGAAGCAGGAGGAGGACGATGATGAGGACGACGACCTCGTCCCCAAGGAGGCGCCCAAGGAGAAGAACCCGCTTGACCTCCTGCCCAAGTCGTCGTTCAACCTTGAGGACTGGAAGCGGGCTTACTCCAACATGGACACTCGTGGCCCCGGTGGCTCCATTGAGTGGTTCTACCAGCAGTAAGTCTGATCTGCGTCTATAGTCTCGTAACTCGGAGGTGACTGACGTCCGTCTCAGCTTCGACAAGGAGGGTTTCTCCGTCTGGCGGGTGGACTACAAGTACAACCCGGAGCTCACGCTCACGTTCATGTCATCCAACCTCATTGGCGGTTTCTTCAACCGTCTCGAGGCGTCGCGCAAGTACCTCTTCGGCTCGATGGGCGTGCTCGGCGAAAACAACAACTCCGTGATCAGCGGTGTCCTCATTCTCCGCGGGCAGGATGTCAAGCCCGTCGTGGACGTTGCCCCCGACTGGGAGAGCTACGAGTTCAAGAAGCTCAACCTGGACAGTGAGGAGGACAAGAAGTTCTTCGAGGCCGCCCTTGCGTGGGACCTCGAGCTCGACGGGAAGAAGTGGGTGGATGGGAAGAACGTGAGTGCTGTGTCCTCGTCCCTCGCTAGTGCAGACACTGATCGTCGTCGTATTCTGCAGTTCAAGTAAACGGAAACGAGAAGTCGCATTGTCATTTGTAGTTCTGCTCTCCTGCTTGCTTTTCTTTTGTAGCCTCATCTTCGAACTCTGGGTGTATTTCGCTAGATCTCACGTTGCTCTTGTCATCTTACCTTGTTGTGCAGCAGTGAAATGAAACTGAAATCATATCAAAAGAGGTCACACAAGAAGCTTTGTGAGAAAGGAAACCACTACTACCTATGACATCGGTCGATGAAGATGACTCATGATATACGCGTCTGTGAGAGCTTTACGTGACGGTCGGATCTTCCGGAATCGACGTTCAAACTCCTCGAGTTCATGAGGGGGCTCTTTGCTGCTCACCATGAAGTGCGAAGTTGAAGACAGTAAGCCATGAAGTCACCTGTGGCATTGGAGACATCTACTCAGCGAGCACGATATAGTAGGGCGTTCTGGACCACATGTACCGGTCCGTCGTCGCAAAGGGCCATCAGGAAAGCACTACTTGGGCATGTTAGACATGAGCAAGGAAGAGAAGGACAAGTTCAAGGTAATTCACTGATTTCTGAGCATTCCGCCTTGCTTGCTGATGCCGAAACCATCAGCAACAGATATTATCACTTGCAGAAGCGTATCTTGATATGTACATCCCCGTCACTCATCAGAGAGGGCAGTGGAAACTCTTCCTCATGGAGGTAGGTGAGGCCATATCCCTGACAAATTCGAATCCTTGACGTGCTTTCTTGGTCAGGTTCTGAAGCAATTCCCGCAAGAGCTCGAGAAGTTCAAAGATGCCGCCCCTGTGCGCAACTATATATCACGGCTCTTATATGCTCGCTATTTTCGGTGTATGAGACGAGTGGAGCGAACTGGATTGGTCAGTTCTGTGAAGGTCAAGAGATCGAGACACATTCCTAGCACCAGTAAAGATGCCACTCATGCACGCGAATCGTCGGTTGAGTCTTACCCACAATTAGGTGAAAGTGAACATGATGACCATGAGGATAAATCGGTAGGCTCCTCAACCAGCCGAGGTAACTTCCCGTGTCTCATCCATATTGTCCTTCTCATGCATCTTGTGCCAGTGGTTCATGCTGAAGAAGGTCAGCGCATGCATCCTCCTATGCCGAAAAAGAACAGAGTAAGTTCAACCAATGGTGACGCCGGCATGCTGGAGCTCAACCTGTTATATGGATAGGCATATGTCCTACTTGAGAGCAGTCGTTCAGGTGTAAGGCACGGAAATCTGACTCGTGCGGCCAAAAATGCATCATGCAGCGGACAGCCTCGGATCTACAATCCTGCAGCAAACAGACCCGATGCTCAAGCGGGAGCTATGGCTGCTTCTACCTCGATGATCCAGCCAGTCTGTAGCATGGCGCCTCATTCGAATGAGCATGAAGGGCTTGCTGGTATTGGCCGCAGTATGGCTGCCAATGCTGGCTCCCCTGAATTTGTCATCGATGTTGACGCAAAGGATTGGAGCATCGTGACATTCATGCACCAGCTTTCGCCGGATCTCGCTCACTTGTGGCCAGTATTGCAGGCGGTCGGTATTAGGACCTCAAATGACTTGAATGCCATAAGGAAGTGGGATCATGTACGTATAACCGAATTTGTGCAGTCTATGCGCCGGGAGCATCCAGGCATGTCACTATTTGAAAGCGAGGTCCTCAAGTTTGGTCTACAAGGGTGAGCGAAACCTCTGACCACGTTGACCATCCTTACCCTGAGCTTTTTTCTCTCCTTTCTCGTACAGACTTCCGTGAGACGCTGACCGTTCCTCACGGTCGATCCTAACCCATGATTTTACATTTCAATCAGAGTCCCTTCAGTTGCGACTGCTTACAGACTCGGACTTACTACGAAAAATCCGGGCACTGTGGCGAAGAGACTAGATTCATAGGTGTGGCGTTGATCAATCTTACAATTGTGCCCTGATGTCACAGGCCATTGAATATTGCATGCCGAATACTAGTAGTTTCTCTTGCTCAAGCTTCCCGATGTCTTACCACGTGCATGAGCAAGTCGCGCTGTCTCGGTGGACCCTAACCATGTAAACACATCCTTCAGTAAGTCAAGAAACCCGCCACGGAGGAGGCAAGCATCGTAATACCATGGACAACTTAAGAGGCTGTTGTTATTAAGTGACACATGTAGCATCTACAGCAGCATCTACCCCGACGGTCTGAATAAATAAACCAAGGACATAAGTAATACAAGCAATGACAGAATTTAGCCCAACTACAGCGGTGATTAAGCGAAAGATATTTAAACAAGTGAGTGAAATCAAAAGATGTGTGGAGCATGCGCGCGCAGTGTGTCAGCTACCGGGCTGACATAAATAACTCAGCTTTCGTTCTGATAAATTAAGAGACGACAATCTGCTTCGTCGTGGCGAAAGTGTCGATGACTTCGCTGGAGATGTTGAGGAGGTCGATGACCACCTGTCTAGGTGTCAATGCAAGCCTGTTTAGGGTGACGGATCAGCCGAAGTCTATACGACGGAAGAGAAGAAACAGCGCACCATTGTGTCGCACTGAAATCAGCAAACTGAGGTGCTTTGAAAAGCTCCAGGAAGATTAGTGGCTCTGTGGGAGACAAGTTTTTGACCTATAAAATAGGCAATGTCAATGACTATCCCTGTCATGAATGACGAAAGAAACATACATAGTGGCCATAAGATACGGGGAAGACACCGGTGTCACCGGCTTCGAAGTCGAATGTTCTGGAGGTGGCGGACCCTGCGAACGCCGTTGCACGCCCTTTGCCAGAAATAATGTACAACCATTCTGCGAACCAGAAGTCAGCCGTGACCCGCCCATGACATAAATTCTACCCACCGTCCGCAGTATGCCAGTGCAACTCGCGCATGCCGTTTGGTTCAACGTAAACGAAGGCGCTTGCAAGTTCCGTAGAAACCTGTACGGACAACGCAACCTAAGTACGCGCTCCTGTCACTGATCTGCTGGAAGTCGCCTACCGGGAAATTAGTCACGGAGTCCTGGATCTTAACCCAGCCTCCGGGCCCCGTGGTCTTCTTCTGCGTAGATAGATGGAACACATATGGGTTGGGGACCTCGCCCTGCGGGTCCGGAATCGCCTGCTGGCTAGCCTCGCCCAGCTGTGGCGGCGGCGCCGTAGATTCCAAGATATACGGGTCCGTCTTGGGGATGTTGTTAAATACGCTCGTGTTGACACCGAAGTTCTGGGCGACGATGTCCAGCGGGGTATGCGCGAGCCAGTCGGATAGCATGAACGTCGTTCCAAGGGCGTCGAAGTTGCCGTCGGTGAAGATGAGAAGGATCTCCAGGCCATCGTCGAGCGCTTGGATGGAGTGCGGGACGCCTGGAGGGAAGCTGGAAGAGTGGTGAGACGAACTTGCATCAGTAGGCTACGGTGGGATACTTACTAGTAGACGTCGCCGTCTGTCCCGTTGATGGGCCCTTTGATGTCAGAGATGTAACTTTTGCCAGTGGAGTCGACCGCTGCGATACGACCTGTCCCGCCGAGGATATAGCCCCACTCTGCGATACGATGCCAGTGCCTACATAGCTATTTCAGATACCGTGTAAGCGTGAAATCGCATTGGACTTACAATTCACGATACGCGTTGGGAGCCAGGCGTATTTCGGCGCCTGCAATATCCTTGGCTGCGATTACAGTGTCAAACTCAGGCAGCCGCTTCACAGAGGACAGCAGCAAACATACACGGCGGCAAATCCGTGATGACTGTTTCTCGCACCCACCCTCCCTATGTTGCAGTGTAAGCAAGCGCTTCCACATCATGCAAAGGTGCAAACCTTTAGAAGTCGCGTGTGTGACTGAGCCATACTCCATTTCAAGTTAGGTACGACGCCTGAAAGTGGTTAGTCAGAAGCCATCTACACCTAAGCATGACAGTGGCGTACCAGCATCAGTGGTTGGAGGCGCAACATTGTCGGGATTCTCCTCGTCGATCCCCGTGTTGCTGGGGGACAAGAAAGGGGCACCGTTGGCTCCACGCACCGGCTCAGGCGTGGAGCCCGTGAAGTTGGCTTCCTGGCCGACATCTGGGGGAGTTATAGAGTCACGCCTGGCGCGCTTTGCCTTCTCCCAAACAGGGCGGAGGTGGCGCGGCTTGACGCCGGCTGCCTCGCGCGATGCGAGGTGCAGGAGTGGCTTGACCTGGGGGTCCTGGCGTTTGAGGAAGTCGCTAAGCTGCCCATCCGCTAGCGGGGACGCGTCAGATAAAAGAGCGGACAGGATGGGCAGCAGCAGTGTCAGGACCCGGATGCGAACCATCTCGGACGGGATGAGACGGAAAGGGGGAGGGGAGGGGAAGGGGGAGGACAGAGATGAGGCAAATATGCCGCAAGCTCTTATCAATTTATAGTTACCCGCGACGTAGACAGGTGGACGGTGATGCGTCCTGGATGAGTACCGCGCGAGGAGGGATCTCACGAAGACGGCTCCGTGTCAGTCTGATCTCTGCGCAGGGGCAGGATATGACAGAGATTAGCTGGGATCCCATGCTTTCATAGGCTGTGTATAATGGCTGAAAGACGTGAAGCGCTGTCAGACTGGCGTAAGCTTCCGTGCAGGTACTCCAGCTTCTTTTTGGATTTGACCTGCTACGCATGGCCGATCCACTGCTAAGTTCCACATGCACTTGACCAACGGCTTGTAGATCCTGTTATCAGAAGACTCGTCCGTTCAGACAAAACGCGCAGAAGGCTTTCCCTTATCTTCATGTACATACCTGGATACACCGGAGTGCCTCGACACAAGCGGGTAACGGTTTTTCGGTTCTTCCTTCCTGAAACAAAGCTCCGTCGCTGTAAGCCTTGCCCACCGTGGAAATCAGTACGCGAGAGCCGCGCTGCGTCACCGGCGCAGAGCATCGACGGGTTAGATACAGCCCATCGACCATTGGAAGACGCGAGCGCGACTGTATGGCTGCAATGATGAAGTGCACACATCGCACCATCAAGACGTGATACAAGCAAGATACCGACCACTGAAATTCGGAATTCGCTCTATAGAACTACTTTCAGGCACAGCACCCGGCAGATACCAGATTTCAGAGCTGCAGTCCGTCAATTGCTAGCGGCTCCGGTCACCGTAGTCAACGGCTATGGCAGTTACATCAAAACAGACAGCTCGCAGCAGGTAATCCGAATACCATGTCGGTGTCCACCCACTCCTGGGGAAAGCACAAAGCCCGAATTGCAAGCCGCAGAGGAATGCCAATGGCAGAAACTGCGGCACGGTACGATGGTCTGAGGTGCAAGTAATGGAAGAAAAGTTAGGCTTCTGCGCGTTGAAGTCCGCGTTCCCACAGTCCCTTGCTGCCGACTTCCATCGCCGACGCCGTACGCCTGCTCGTGCTGACCGCGCTTGCAAGTGACCGCACGTATGATAAGATCACGACGATGGCTTCCAGGGCTGTAGTATTCCAGACCTTAGCCGTAACTCTACTCAGGTATCGTCTATCGTTCTCGCCGAAGAGAGCAGTGGCTTACGTTGTAGCCGTCGAAATCGACTTAATACCCACTTAGGTGCTTGCTATTTGCTTCGTGCCGAAAGTACCTTCTCCGGAGCTTGTATCATGATTTACAGTCCCTATCTTTGCCTGGGGAGCCGGGGGTTATGCATTCGGACGACGTCGAGTTGACTACCCTACCCGCCCCGTCAACCTCTGCGGCTCTCAAACGGAAGCGACCGCTGCATTCCACGCTTTCCCGTGGATTGTTTGCAATATGCTTCTCCGAGAGCTGCGTGCTTTTCTTTCTCTTGATGTGTCAAGGACTGGATATTTTGGATCCTCGGTGCGTTCTTCTCTTTGATCAAGTACCCCGAAGGCAGCTCCGGTGCACTGGTTATGCTATCGGCTCTCGGGCTGTCTGGAAGTCTACTCCATTGTCTCGAAAGGTGCGAGACTTCGGGGGGATTTCCAGACAAGTGCTGCGGGTGCTGATAGCAGGACCACCCTCACTGGGAGCACCTCATGCATGATGCTGGTACGCCGCGAGTCTGACTGTAGGGTACACAGGACACGTCTAGTGAATTGGAGATTATCCCTCACAGTTCTATTGTCGGCAATACTCGTAGTTGTACCTCTATGCTTAAACCTCATACTCACTTACACGTCAACGACCGCACATAATGGTACGCTCGTCGTATCTCACACGGAATTTGACTCTAAACTGTCGTAGATAATTTGTCGCACAACCAAACCATGACCACACGGATACTACTGACGATCTCGCCGGTCCTCGTATACCTCCTATTATTATCGTATATCCCATTGCCATCAGCGCTGGCCTCGGCAGGCCTCCTTACGTCTGTCTTGGCCCGCCTCATCGTAGTTGGCACCATAATACTCGGACTTCTCTCAGGCTTTGGTGCTATAAGCAACGCCTGGGCATTCTTTCCGATACTCTCGCGTGAACGCAGGTGCGTCCGTCACACATCCGTATATGTGACGTGCGGCACTGACAACGGCGCATCATTCAACGCAGGATGGACCCGACATCGAATGATGTTGCCGCTGCGTCACAGGCACTGGACAGAGTACGCTCCGATTTGATGGAGCGGAAGGCTGAGCTCAAACGATTAAGGAACGCTCAGGTACGCACCAAGGCAAGCGGGGGCGCCCGAGGAAAGCTGACCTTCCGCACGCTAGCCCGAGTCGCAGACGACATGGCTCTCACGGATGACATCGAGCTTTCGGGGCGATAGCCGTAAGTCCCAGATATCTGTTATAGTCGGTAGCCCGTCGTAGATGCTATAGTGCTGACTCGCCTGCTGCCCAGAGCTGTCCTCGCTCTCACAGGAAGTAAGCGGATTGGAAGCGCTGGAGTACCAGATGTCGCAGAACCTGGAAGACATGAAGCTGCGCCAGGCAAACGCCCACTTCAACCGGACCATCGTCGGAAAGCTGTTCAATCTCGGGGGGCGGCTCTTTGCCCTCTATTGCATATTCCGCATCCTCAGTGTGCGTTCCGGTCGCGCCTTTTCTCTCCAAAGCACTGAACTGCTCATTGGTATTTATAGTCCCTCATCAATATCATCATCCCGATCAGATCCCGCGAAAGCAATACCTCCTCGCCTGATCTCATCACGCACTACCTCGTTCGCCTCCTCTCCTTCTTTCCCGCACTCGACATCCCAGAGAAAGATGTCGCGCTCGTAGCGCGCCAGATCAGCCTAGCGCTCGTCGGTGTGATAATTCTGAGTAGTATCAGACTAGTCCTGCGGGGTGTAGCCAGGGTAAGTCAGGCATTGTCAGACGCTCTGCCTCGGATTAAAGCAAAGTCTATGACGCAGGTTTTGCGAGTGACGAATAGGAATCTCGGCGCATCACTTATGTTGGTTGTCCTTGCACAGCTGATGGTGAGAAACGATTACTCGCGTAGATAATTCGCATTGACTAACTTTCACCTCGTAGGGCATCTACTTGTTATCCACCTTGATCCAGTTACGCACGTCGTTCCCGCCTCCTCCAGCTAGACCAGATGCCGACAATGCGCCGAGTACCGAGACAAATATCTTTTCGACACTACCGGAATATCAAGTTTTCGGGTCCTTATTCGATGGGTCCTTCCTCATTGCAGCTGGGCTAACCGCTACGGCACGGTGGTTGAATGACAGGGTGAATGGACCAGGATCATGAGCATACGCACCCCATGCTTGAAAGCCCTATTCATAGCTGTAGATGGACTACTTCTGCTCTCAACATTACTACTACTTGTCATCCAAGACATTGATTGCATTATATGTCATGAATTTTACACGTATAGTGATGCTCGTCAAGATTGTCCATGTCCCGATAAATATACTTGTACAGAGGAGTGCGGGTCGTCAAGATCATACCTGGCTGACAGGTTCGTAACCGCCTCTGCTGCTTCCGCCCCTTCCCAAGCCCAAACCCATGAGCAACCCCTTCCTCGGGCCTTTCCTTCCGGGTCCTCCAATGGCGTGACCCTCTTCCTCCTCCTCGATTTCCCGCCTCCGCTTCGCCTCCCTGAATCCCTCCAGCGGGACGTCATACAACTGCTCATACTCCACCCCGAGTTCCTTACCCATCGTCCAGAAGTCCTTGCAGTTACCCACAAGACCTAAATCGAAGGGGTTGGTAGCCTTCCCAGCGCGGGCGAGCCCATCGACAGCTTTGCCTTTCGTAAAGCGGTCCAGCCCAAGGAGGTTCATCAGGAAGCCGCTCCCACAACCCGCGCACAAGCCGTGCTGGTGCTTGTGAGTATGTACTGCCCCAGTGTCCGCGAGTCCCATACTGGCGTCTTCGCCGTCGACCGGGACGCCTCGGTGCTGATGTCGGTGTCCCATCTGTCCGCTGAGGCTCGCGCCGCCGCGGCCGCCCATGAACCCGTACCGCCCAAGGTTGGATACCTCCAGAGTGGTCATCTGCCGAGCGATTTGCCAATACTGGCTCGCGAGCAGGACAATTGTCCACGAGAGCTGGAGCGTCGCCCACGCCGTGACTGCGAACAGGAAAGTGTCGTATGCGGTAATCGCGCACAGGTCCGTAGGCAGGATACAGGACGGCGAAATGTTTTGAGGGTCGGTGGAGACGGGTGCTGTAGAGAAGACTGACGGTGACCAGTTAGGATTGAAGGCTGGGAGAGATTGCAGTAACGACTTACACGCAAAGGAGAGGTAATCAAACGAGATAATCCCAAGAACAAGTGTTGACACAAATAATACGAATTGACGGTGGTTGTTAACCCCCACTACAGACATGCCAAGTTACTGAGCACCAATCACACATTGAGAAGTTGTTGTACTCACCACAATTCCATACCCACGGACAATGGCTATAAACGGTCAGAATCATGAGCCAAGAATACCCAGAATACAACAATAGACGTACTGGTCACTACGAGCTACGCAACGATCACATACACGGCAATGCTTGGATCTTAGTGGTCTCCGAGCCTAACGAGACGAATCAGGACATCATGAAACGTTCAACGCAGATAATACTCACCATGCAGTTGATGCAGAACGTCTGGCCATTTAGGCGTCCTTCTGCTGCCAAATTTTCGATTGTCTGATAGTCGGTTACTCTGCATGAGTCCTTGGATATCATATGCCAATTTTTAGAAATGAGACATACAGCTTTCAACTCTTCGTCATTCTGGGGTTTGGGACAGCTTCCAGGGTCGAGTGTTATGGACCTGAAAAAGTTGTAGGCGCACAGACCGAACGAGAGTGCGAACACAAGATGTGCAATGGCGTGCGACGATGTCTCTAGGAAGTGAACCAGTTACGAATGTACCGGGAGAGTGGGGGCTATGGCACGTACGATGGACAAGCCGTGTAATCCAGCAGTAACCTACCCATACCATAGACGCGCTAATGATCCCCGCAAAGTATGGGCTTTGCGCTACATTGTCGGTGTAGCTGCTGTTGTTCAGCAAAACCCGCGTAACAATCTGAGGGGACGATGAGCATGACCTGTCATAGGATGCAAATACAAGAGTCGTACGTGATGCATTCCGAAGAACTCGGCCATAGCGAGGATCATTCCCGTATACCAGGGGAGAATGCTCAACGTCACAAAGATCAAATAAAGAAAAACGGTCGGAAGGACAAATATGGCAATTTTGGAGTTGCGCTGCGATGGGTGAGTTTCAGTCGAGTCAGCACCAGCGACAACGCGACGAACCTCGCTCAAGAACTTCTGCTTCCTTGAGCCGTCCTCGTTCAGCCCGCCCTCCTCCAGCGCCCGCTTCCACGCACCGAGACTCTTCAGCTCCACCGCCATATCCCGCGGCGTCCGCCCCTCCCCGTCCTTCGCATTAATCTCTGCGCCCTTCTCGATCAGCCTCCGGATGCAGATTCTGTTCCCCCGCACCACAGCCCAGTGCAACGGGGTCAGCCCAGTGTCGTCCTTCGCATTCGGGTTCGCCCCGTGCTTCAGCAGTAAGTCGACAGACAGCGCGTCCCCCTGGTACGCAGCCCACATCAAGGACGTGTGTCCCTGTGAGTCGCGGGCATCGACGTTGACTGGCTGATGCAGGATGTACAGGAGCGGCATGATGGCAGACGAGTGCGTGACGAGGTGGAGAGTGTTGTACCCCTGCGAGTCGGTGATGTTCGGATCGGCGCCGTGGGCGATGAGCAGCTGAATAACGTAGAGGTAGCCATTGCGTGCGGCCCATTGCATCGGTGTCGCAACCAGGTCACCGCCTAGTGCATCCACTTCCGCACCTTGCTCTAGTAAATAGCGGCATGCGGGTACTTGCGCGTTGATGGCAGCCCAGTGCAACGGGGTGATGTTCTGCTCGTCCCTGTCCGTCGCCTTCGCCTTTCCCGACTCGATCAGCTCCCGTAGGAGATGTACGTCTCCCCGTTGAGCTGCGACGAATATGTTCGCCTGTATGACATGTGTCAGTTATTAGGACTTCCTAACTATGATGTAGGTCACTCACATCCGTCTCGTACGTCGTTTGGAGGGCTTGAGAGAGGCTCATTGGGGCTGCTGAAGCCGAAGTTTCGTCCACCGCCGTCGCTGACGGCTCTGACTTGCTACTAACAATGCCAGCAGGATCCGCCATTCTTGGTACACGAGCTTCCGCTGCGGGAGTTTGGGCGCTATATACTGATGGGGCAATGCTCGTGGCCGTCCAACTGACAGTACAGACGCCGACTGCGGACCAATGAGTCGTGGGCTGGTCGGGAAAAGGCTATGCAAGTGCGACGCCAGAAGACAGTCTCCCTGCGTCCAAGCAACCAGGCAGAAATCAGGCAGAGAGAGAGAATGCAAAGAGGCTTCAGTTGTGGGTGAAGTCGCGAACGCGCCACCGAAGTTTCGTCCCCACATTCCAAGTCCAACTTGGAACCACCCGCTGCCACAACCATTCTCCGGCTCATCAGTACTCATTATTACGGTCGAATAGACATTGCGGAAGGATTATGAATACAAGATACAGCATCAAATCCAATAAATGCCGTTGAAGTATCTTATTACGATCTCTATTGTGAGGCCTGCGACGTAGGGCCTGCCGGTGCCACCGGTACCGTCTCCACAGACGGCGTTGGTACATCAGGACCAGAGACTGGACCAGACCCGTTCAGTTTGGGAACCTCAGATGCCAGGCGTTCTTCGGCAGATTTTTCTTCTTGGACCTGGATTGGCCGGTCGCCATGTACTCTCCGTTCTCCACCATGAGGCGCGCTCAGTGGAACACCCGTCGGCGGGCCTCCTGCGTGCCCAAGGGACTGCTGGAAGACTTTGCCCATCTCACTAGCCATGACCCGTCCAGCCTCTCGATGAGGCTGCAGCTTCGCTTGTTTCCTCTTCTCTTCCTTCTCCTCCTCTTTCCGCTTCTTCGCAGCTCTCTCCTCCTTGACTTCCTGCGCCCACTTCCCCACTCCCGCAACCGCAGCTGCAGGGTTGGATTTGTAACCGAGCAAGTATCCCTGGATTTCTGCCGTGGAGAACTCATGCTCAGGCAGGGTCTCCGCGAACTGGTCAGCGAACGCAGCTAAGCATGCCGCCGGGTCTTGCGGCTTCTCTGCCTCCTTCGCTTCGAACAGGTGTCCGAAACGTGAGACAGGGAAGAACCGCGAGAAGAGAGCCCGGGCCTGTCCTATGCTCGCCATCTTGTATTCCACTTTGACGTCCACACGTCCTGGTCGCAGGAAGGCTGCATCGAGCCGATCGATGTGGTTCGTCTGCGCGTGTGACAACGGTGTCAATCAAAATTGAGAGGGTAAGGGCAAGACTCACCGTGGCGAAGAACATCCTTCCGTCTTCGCTGCCAATACCATCGATGACGTTCAATAACCCCGACAGGGTAACCAGCGACGCGGATGTCCCATGCATCCCCATTTGTCGACGCATGCGAGGTGTCATCACTAACCCCGGCTGTAGAGTAGTGGTAGCTGGGCTTTCCTCGGTATCCTCATCTCTCGACGGGAACGCGCAGTCAATATCTTCGATCAGTAACATACTTCGAGCGGGCACTTGTGACACGAGGTGCTGTAGGTAAGTGTCATCGACACTAGACAGAACCGTCGTATTAGATAATTACACTGCGAAGAGAAGGAAGACGTACTTGTTTGATGCAAGTGATATTGTATAGATGTCGAGGTCAAGCTCGCCCGCCTCGATAGAACGTTAGGAAATGCAGCCTAAGAGAACTAACAGAGCCTACAATTGCATGGATCGTCGAAGCTGATGATAGTGATCAATGTCAGTCGGCTGTGTTGGATAGTGGATGACGCACTTTTTCCCGTCCCGGGTGGCCCATACAACAGATATCCTCGACGGTGGGGTATGCCAGCGTCGACATACCAATTCTCCATCTTCATGAACTCTTGCATGTCGGCTATAATGGAATCTATAACTCCCGGTTCCAATATCAGCGAATCAAGTGGCCTCCGTGCTTTCGTCTTGACAGTGGTCCAGAGTTGCCGCTGGTAAGGATGTCGCACACCCTATATAAAGGTAGTTCAGTACCCGAATGACATGAGCGCTAGATAATCTTACACCATCCGCACTCCGTATGAGGACGCGCTGCTCGCGGGATTGGACGAAAGCATCGTGCGCCTCCTCCACAAACCGTGATAGTGTATGGATGTCGCGAGTGAATATCCTACAAACCTCAGTTCGCTGAGCGTGCATTCGTCAAAGCTAGCTCACGTACTTCAAGTCGATGTATCTTGATTCCGGTACTCCAGTCAGGTCGGCATTGAGCATCGCATGTGCGTTCATGCTGGAGTCCCTACTCTTTGTGAACTCGCACACGTATCCTTTCCAGCAAAAGAGGTAAGGAACGTCGTAGACAGGCACAAGGTCAGCGTGTCCGTCGAGCACTGGGCCATCAGCGATTGCGTGCGCAACCATCTTCATTGCCGTCTTGGCTCTTGCCCTGAAAGTCGAAGACTTGCGCCACAGTTGGCGTGAAGCCTGGCAGTACACAAGGCACCAACATTGTCAGTATATGACTGACAGCTCAGCGAAGCGCCCGGTGTTGCATACCATAGCGCTGGTGATCCATTCATAAGTTGGATCTCCCTTGAAGAATCTCACAGAAACACAATATCCTGGTCAAGGTTCAGTCAGATAACATATGCACGCATACGAAGTACTCACGAAACGACAACCTCTCCCAGAGCCACTGGCAGAGCCTACGTCCACTCTCAACTAAAGCGCCCGTGGCAACTAACTTGAGAGCGTCAGACCGGCGCGGGGAGAAAAGCGCCGCAAAGAGGGAGGAGAATCCTATGAACTGCGGCACCAGCCCTCCAAACCCGGCACCAGGAATACCAACTGCCCCAGGACTATATCCGTGGTTCATAGCCATGGTAGACAGAGGCTACCTTAAGGCCAAAACGCCCAATATATAGCAATGCCCAACCTTGCTATCCGGACCCGACCGGCGTTACACTGCAACGAGTCAGTAGTGTTCTATTGCAAGGCCGTGACCACAGTACAAAAGCTTTTCGACTGCGATGTTGAAACAACTGAGATCTGGTTCCATTGTTACGCGCGCAGGACTTTCGTTAGACAGATGTTCTGGTTCGGTGGCTGTAGTGCGGAGAGGGGATTTCAAATTGCACAGCTGTGGCGGTTGTAGAAACAGCCATGACCGAGTCAAAAGTTCTGCTGTACTGTACGCTATGTAGCGTTATCCGCTACTTAGTCATCTACTGCCTCCACCTTCAAGTATAGCTCTGGCTCGAATCTTGTTGATCCCTTGACCGAAGGAGTTACGATCATGCCCATGCGCCAGAAAATTTCCTTTTCAGATAGGGAGAACCTGAAAGCTCGGAGCAACACAGCCAGGATGACTTCTGCGAAAATGGGATCAGATGGCCAACGCAGCATTTCCTTGTCAAAGTACCTACTTATCTCTAGTTCCGCGAATTTGAAGCCGCTGTGAATAAGTACGGATTAGCATCGATGTCCAGTCTAGCAATGATACTGTTTTACATGCAAGCCCGAGAGCCACCTAAAAAGGTCATCCTTAAAGGCTGTTAGAGGACCTTCATTGAGAGGAAGTGATGTTCCACATACATATTCGAGTAGACCCCTGGCAAGTGCGCCTGGGATACGCTCTCCGGCAGAGGAGCCAGCCACCGCTGGGGTTTCCACTCCTCGGCATCCTCGCCCCAGATTTCTTTGCTACGGTTCGCGGCCATGATGGCGACCGTTATTCGTGTACCTTTCGGTACGAAGATTTCTCGCATTTCTTTGCCATTCACGTCCGTAATTGGGGAAGAGAGGGGGAGCACAGCGTCCTCGGCAGCACTAAAGGACGGTGATTCAGCAAAGCAAATCTTGAGACTACGCAAATGCTCACGCTCTTCCCACCGTAGGGACAGTGCAATAACTGTAGATTCGACATTAGTCTCTCAAACCTACGGGTATGGATGTCGCTCACTATCTTGAAGTCTCTCGGCAAATGGCATCGAGATACGGAAGTCTATCGAGCTCGTCGTATGTCAGGTCGCTGTCAGCCTGGGCCTCTGATAATTCCTTCCGCAACTTTTCTTGAAGTTCGGGATATTGAGCAAGAAGGTGAAGGATTCGAGACACGGCCGTGGATGTCGTATCCATAGCGGCAAACATCAGGGTCCTGCACACCACGTCAGCGCTGCTCCCTCCCTCAGTAGGAGGTACTTACGTGAGTTGTGCGATGACCTCTTCGTCTGCCAAGCGTTCCTTGGACGACGCTTTGTTATTTGCCCTCACTCGGCAAAAGTAAGGATGTTAGACTGACTACCTTCGAAGAGGCACTCACGTAGAATGCTTAAGATATCTTTGCCTTCGGCCTCTTCCTGGAAAGCGGCGTTACCTTTGCGCAGAGCAGAAGAGCTGCTATAAAATACGTCCTCCGACGTCTGCTGCATGGTATCAATCATGTGTCTAATCCTCTGGACCAACCAATGAGGAGTTCGTTCGACTATGAACCTCCGAAATTTCGGCGTCCCGATCTTCATCAGAGAGGGACCAACGAAGAGTAGTATAGGATACTCGAAAAACACTGGCCTGCACGGGTAGGAAATTTAGCAAAGGACGCATCATGCAGACCATCTGACTAACCCCAGACATTTGATTGCCTCCGCATAAGGGCTCACGGCTCCCTCGTGGAGGAGGTCAAAGCTCCGGCCTAGCCCGGCTTGACCTACTAGCTCAAGAGCCGTATGCGTGAGCCATAGCATCATCTCAACTTCCAGAGGGCCATCCTTGATCTTGGACGCTATGACTCCTCGAAGCTGGGACGGTTTTATTCATGGCCACAAGCCAGAGGCCTCAACGTACCTGTTTCGCGATGCCATAGAACGTTGGGACCATGTTTCGAAGATGACTTGTACTGAAAACTGGATTGAGTATCTTCCGCTGCTTCCGGTGGCGATCGCCTATGGATAAGATCAGAAAAATCCTGCCTCTAAACGCCTAGGGGATACCTTTGACGGACAGAAGTCCAGGTCCGAAAATGAGACTAAAAATCCTGGGTAGTGAGTGTCGTAAGGCTTCAAGTTGTACAATTGGATGCAGATGAATGTTCACTCGAAGTCATCATCGTGTTTCTCGAAAATATGTTGGTCTTTCACAATGATGTGATAAAGGGCCAATGGATCGGAGATATACAAGTTTTTGGTCTGTCCATAGTCATATATGAGTGCCGAAAGTGATAGACAGAGAAGCCACTGACACCTAAGAATGAATTGACTTTGGCTACTCTGCCGTACTTGGCCGCAAGTTCCTCGTGGAACTTCCAGCTGTCGAAATCGAACATCTCAGGGAGATTTCCTAGAGCAACAAGGAATGAGTAGAAATAGCTGGCCGATAGGTCGAAATGATATCCAGCGTACCCATTAACCAGGATTTCGAGGGAGGACCGGGGATTGCATCCAAGGGCGACGGCCCGAATGATTTTCGCAGCAAGCCATAGAGTAGCAAGAGAAGACTTGTCGCGAGAGCGACATCCACGATGGTGATGGTCATCATTGAATGTCGTTGCTACTCCAACATAATCAAAACACCCTGCATTTATACGACTCGCTACAGCTTGCAGATAAAATTAGCGCCCCCGGGCGCAAGCGGGTTGCAATGCGATCTTTTCCGCTGTTCCTACTTCATCCTCTGCAGCTAGCCTGAGCGTGCCGTACAGTAACATCTACCATTCTCCACTGGTCTGTGGTGGGACACATGATGCCGGGGAGCACCGGGTAGTCGGGATTTTCCGGACTCGGTCCTGATTGGCCCATTGTAGACTCGCAACCAGTCCTGTGAGTACGCAACGTAACACGCCGTGAACTTGGTATTACGAACGGAACCGGCAAGAAAGTGGGCACTAGCTGTTATCGTGCGAAGACTCAGTTATCTTGCATCCATATGTCCCGGGGAGGGTGTGAGTCAATGCTATAGCTACTCAAGTCTTCGAGGTGGATGTCTTTCGCGAGAGCGTCTTCATATCTTGATTCCTCTTTATGTCGGAGGGTAAAACATACATGCCTACAGCCGGTATAATTGCAGAGGCTCGTGCGGCTACACAATTAAGGATAGGGATGACGTACGGAGTGAAACTGATATGGTTTATTTCTCCAACGTTCGGCGAAACCTACCAACCATCGTGAATTCCTGGCATTCCCGGAGGTATCGAAAGATCCAAGCAGCGGGCTTATTCATATGGCGATCGTTAGAACAGGGAGGGAAGGGGGCTAGATGGTCAGCTGATGTAGGATTCCAACCGTTTCATCCATTGTCGTAAGCATCTACTCATTCCACAACTCGAAACCAAGTCCCGGTGATGCATGTAACATGCCACCGACGCCTAGGAAAATATTTTACTGAAATACACCTTCATAGCACATGCTCCCGGTTCCTCCGACGAAGCCATCAGGGCGCACAATAACAACAGTGCCCTTCGGATGTACCCCTCAGAGGCATGGCGATCCGTGTCCCTAAAAACATGGTCTGCGCTCTGGAGCACCGCATTGTCACGCACGAAACTGTGCGCCGGGAGTATTACTACACTCTGCACAAGCTCAGCGGGGTATTCCTGGAGTGCAACGAGCACCTCGTCAGTAACCGGGTCATGATTCTCCGCCGCGAACACCAGTACGGTGTGTTTCGTGAGCGTGAACACATCGAAGAGGTTCCAGAATCGGTCTCCAGCATTCGGGTCGAGCCAGTGCGGCGCATCGGGGACCCCGTTCCCTCCCTGTGGTCTGCCAAAGTCACCGAACGAGTACACGTTGACGGGCGGTACTGGAACGTCGCCTTCGCGCGCGTCGTGCACGATCAGGCTACTAAGGTAGTTGACGTCCAGCTGGAAGAACTTTGTCTCAAGTTCCCAGGAGCGCTCTTTATGTGCGACCGTGTCGTTGAGGACCTTCGTCGTCATCTCGAACATTTTCTCGATGATGGGCACGCGCTCGGGACTATATGACTCGAGAAGGTTGGGGAGCCTATGTGGGCCAAGCTGATCTTTTACACGAAGTTGAACTGCATGTTCGATTATGGTCAGTATCAGTAGTCCTAGCCCAACACCAGGGTACGTACCGCATACATCACGCCGCTGTTCATCCCTTGACCACCGGTTGGGCTGTGGACATGTGCTGCATTTGTAAAAGATGTAAGCTACGAAGAGAGTGAAAAGCGTAGGAGATTGACCTCCGGCAACAAAGACTCTGTCTTTCCTGAACTCCGTTAATCATACGAATTATCAACTTCCAGCGACGACGGGTTGCTATGAGCATCCCAGGACGGCTAAAGACGTGACAGCGAACCGACTCACCTGACGAATGATAACGTGAAGCATTCCATGAACTCGATATCCGGCTGCCCGATGATCTCGCGGATATAGGTCTGGAACTCGTCCTTATTGGCCGCCAATCTCTCGAAGTCGACCTGTCCATTGAACGCAAAGAGGGCGATCCAGAGTACGTCCTGGTCGTGCGTCCAACGTGGTAGTGCAGCGAACCTGTCATGCCACGCGTAAGTAAGGCGTATTCCATGGTTATAACGAAAGATACTTGCAGGAGGATGTTGCCTCTCGTCCAGTCACTCCTCCACTGAGGTGACCATTCTCCTATTAACTGGGCTCTACAAGGCGGGGACCTCGAAGAACTCGCGTCGCGTGAGACGCCACGCATACGCACGTTCCCAATGAGCATGCCTGTATATTGTCTGGTGACGCCATCAAATCTCAGACCCAAAAGCTTCCTAACAACGCCTGGATTATGATGAACATGGTAAGTCTGTGCAATCCAAGCCATGATGAAAGGCCCACAACCTCTTGCGCCGTCTGCTAGTGAACCAATGACGTAGCTGGCGAGGAACCTCTCCTCTGAGTCCTCAGATCCGTCCCCTCCTTCTTCCGCACGGACGGTACGTGCTTTGACGCGATCTGCGTGCCGCTCAAAACCACGCAGCTCGTGGCCGAATTCCATATGGCAACCGAATTTCTCTATCTGCACCGACCTAACGATATGAGGTCAAAAACAAGAGAAGAAAACCGTGTAATTGTATGCTTACGACGAGGACTGGGAGCGCTTGAGGTGCCATGTTTCAACTCCTGCGTATTTGTTGTGCAATATGCTACTTTTCATGCCACTGTATCTATACGGTCTTGCGCAAGAAGTTGCGGACCGCGCTCAGGACCCGAGAGAAAAGCACTGCGGGAATTCTAACTCTGTCAAGCTAAAACCAACTCGACCACACAGTCGAGAAAGGTACGACTGAGCCTGCTCCTACGGAGGACGTCCTAGGCAAGAGTCGGAATGAATCTGAGGAGCCTAGGTCGTGAGCCTGCATCAGAAAATGGGTGTCATGGAACATAGACTGGATAGGAAACAGAGGCCGCGAGGTTGCAAGGGCAAGCATCCACCTTCTAGGTGCTGGACGGACGGCTGCAGAAACTACACACAAGAATCGAAGGGTTTTCCTGGCGGTGCAGAGTACGAATAATTTGCTGGAAGGGCTCGCGACAATAATGATACATCTGATCAATATAAGGATATAGTAGGCTAATACAGCAGCGATCAGCGTGTGAAGCAAAATCCAAAGACACGAAAAGTCACTGAACAATCCAAAGTTCATCCGAGACCCCAAGGATATTATATTTGCATAGCGACATCGTTTGTCTTATCCTCCTCGCCTGTATCGAGTTCGTTCGCGGATGGTACGGGGGCCGAGGTAGCTGCACCCGCGGCTGCGTTTGCGTGCTGAGGTGGCGATACGTCCCTGGATTTTCAGTACATGTTAGCATCGGATGAAGGTAAGAGACCCATTACAGAGGGGGAAAGGAGCAGGTATCGAGGAAATCGTGGGTTTGTCGGAACAGTCAGACATAATAAGAGGCATGGAGCTCACCACTTAATCTGGAACCTCGTCACCCGCGGCTTCGTACTGATATCCCTCACCAGTTTCTCGAACGCAATCTGTTTCGGCGGATTCTCCTTCATCTCCTCGTTATCGTACTCCGTGTTCTGGTAGTACCCCACCCGCACAAACTCCTGCTCCTTGTACGACCCAGTCAGGATGAGCGCAGCCACTCCGAGGACATCTTCTGGCGGAATTTTGGAGGGTGATGGTGCAGATCCTTCAAATTCAAAGGAGTTCACGCCAACTGGAACGGGCCCCACTAGGCAGTCATCAAGCTCTTGGTCCAGCTCTTCGTTGTCGGGAGACGATACGTAGATCAACCTCCATTCAAGATCTAGGACGCGTAGCACGCGTAATTTCAGTAAAAAAATCTGTATTCAAGCTTGAAGTACGCCCACCATCTGGTAGTGGCGCGACACATTCGAAGGTAACGCGAAAGTGGTATGGATCCAGGAAGCGTGCCGGATTATTCAAAAACTCTACGTTCTGCCTTCCATCAGACCTCATTCACAGGCTATAGTAGCAGCACATACCCTTATTGTCACGATAGACATTGTGGTACTTACTGCAGAACCAGAGCGAAGACAAGCGGTGAGCGGGACGTGAGAGACCAGGAGACGCGCTATACGCGCCTGCACGTGACACAACACTTTAGGGCTGGGCAATATCGACTTCGGCAGCCGTCTTATGCTATTTCTTCCGTCCCTCCTCGTGCATGTGGCTGGATTCGTTGCGAAAACGACGCGTTGACAATCCTGACCGGTTGACGTCGACCTGCAACGCGACATAAATCGTGCACGCTGGCACGGGCGTGAAGTGTCTCTACCGTGGCGAAAATTCCCCAAGTGAGCCTTCTACCAAGATCTTGAACCAGGATTTGCTGCAATACGCTTAAAGACTGGTTGTACCCTCATGAGAATGCTCCGCGCGAGCTCCTGGCTGAGGCTTATCTGAAGCAGAACAGGTCTGAAGTTGCAAGTTTGGGCATGCTGGACCGCATATATTCACATATATCGAGTCCCATTGCAGAGACCAGACGTGCGTTCTACCGCCAGGCTTGACACGCTCAGGAGCTTGTGTGGGCTTTCGTTTCCGAAGGGCCCCTCTGGACACACGCGTTCTGTTGTGTCCACTTGCTATGGCATAGTATCTCATTTCATGTGCAAAATGCTGTGATTGACCACGTTCTGGAGAGCCTCTACGTAAATCAAGCATAGACTGAACTACTCCGGCCTTGCAACTCCTGGACAGGCGACGTTCTTCGCCAACCTCGCCTGTTATGCCATTTTTTACATTTCTTATTCTTCAGTATCGCCCGTGTCCGAGCGCGTCCTCCTTACAAGGTCATATAGACTCGGCGAAGGTAACCGTTGAATATCGGATATGGTGGGGTCATTGTTGTCGTCCTCATTCGCTTGCTATCCTTGTTTGAATTCACGACACAGCTGCATTTATGCGACGGTATAAGCCATGGACCAGAAATTTCGATCCCACTTGCGCTCGCCACGCTCCTATCACATTATTCCTTCAACCACCCGTACTGCGTGTGCAATGATGCGCGGGGTCACTTCCGCACATCGCCTTTCAACGAGGGATTTATTCGTTTAATCATTACCAACATTATAGAGCGGACAATAAGCGCCCGTGGCACGGAACTTGCCGCTTCAGCGCCTGTCGTCGTCTTCGGCCTTAGAAGGACTTGCCCTTGTGCTCTGTTCCCTTTGTCATTTCTGCGGTATATCTCAGCAAGTGCAAGTCGCTGCAGAGTCTGTCGCGATCGGTCGCTTGCGCAGGTCCTAGCAAAACCAGTTCTTTGCGGCGTAGTTAGCCAGGCAGCCGCGGTCGCCTGCCTAGTTTGAAGAGTCCTTATTGTCCCGGACTGCGCTTGATTTCTTGTGTACGAGCACCTACGACCACCCACGACGACGGGAACGACGACTCATTAACCGCTTCTGCTGTATCTTTCTGGGTTGCCTGTTCTGCTTCTGATGTCCAACTAATTGATGCTGTTTCACTCGGATTGTACTCTAAGGATGTCTCAGGCTTCTTTCCCTGCATATTCACAAGGCGACGACGACGATGCGACAGCGACAACACCCCTGGCGTCTCAGATGCCCTCCTGCTCTCCCCCAGACGCTCCAGTTTCAGACTCGACCCCGAGCCGCACGTTATTGTCTCCTTCCCAGGACCCGATCGGATCGCGCTTTATGCTTCCCATAACGAATCCACCCGCAAAGCCTTCGTTCACGGTCTCAGATGTATATGGCGCAGACGAGAGCTCAGAGGGGTTTGGGCAGTTGGCGCCCGAGATAGCTTCAGCTGACATCTCCATCGCGGGTGAGTCATCTCATTCTCGTCGAGTTGACGCGTTCTGAGAGCGCGCTGGTGCTAGCCGACGGGAGTTTTGTGGAGACGTCGTCTGCGGCGGCTGCGATGGAGCTGAAGAGACGGTACGATCATCTGTTCGGCGTCAACAAGGACGTGAGGTCGCCGTACGCGATCACTTCGTTTGTCAACCAACATGGGAGGCAGAAGTTCCGCGTCGGGTGAGTGCGCTCGCGGTATCGCTCCGTGCGTAAACTGATGCGGGGGCCAGTCGCAAAGAGCTGTCGGCACCCATGGCGTCCGCTGTGGAAGCCGAGAACCGAACGTCCCAACAGCTGAGCTCTGGCCTCGAATCACCCCCCTTTCCGAGGAGCTCGAAGCGGAGCTCTAGATTGAGTGTACACCAGTTTCTGCGGAACGGGAGCGTTTCGATTGCGCCCAAGGTAGACGCCACGTCCGGGAGGTCGCCACCAAGTCGCGCTGTCCCTCGCAAACTCGTCAGAAAGACGCGCTCGATACCGGACTTGTACAGTGGTCTCGGTGAAGGTTTGAGCAAGGCGGATGGCGCAGGGCCGTCCAACGGACATCCTTCCGGCCGGACGCACTCGCACAGTGTTACGGCGGCGGATTTGCCCCGCCTGCCTCCTAGCATCGCGCCACCGAAACCACCTACTGGGGATGTCTTCAACGAGGTGATGGGATGGGATTACGCGTACTCCACACCTTCTTCGCCATTCGGTTCGAATGTGTTTTCGGTGTCTGTTCACAGTCTACGGTTGCCCTCCGAGGCGGACGCTGCTCGTGCGGAGCAGGAACCTCGGCCTCTCATCTTCCACCCTTTTGGTCCTGGCATATCCTTCGACTCACCCTCAAGAAAGACCAGCACCCCATCTACGCGCATGTCGTCTCCGCATGGACTACGGGTCATGCAGTCCTTCGAATCCGGACTCACTGCGAGAGCTGACGCAAATACTCATATCCTGAAAGGTGGCCCCCCGAAACTAACGTTGAATTTCGAGCCTGAGCCTGAAGGCTCCGCACTTCTACCGATTCCTTCTCCATCCCACTCTCCCACTCCCTCTCCGCCGCCCCCACCTCGCCAGCCCACTCCTGTAACAGAGACTGCAAAGTCCGCTGCAGTTGATCCGACTCTGCTCCCTCTTTGGGAAACTTCCCAATATTCCCGATACTCCACTGACGTTTTCGATGTGTTGCAGACGTACCGTGGTCTGCCTCTACTCGATAAGATTGACCCGTTCTCCGAGGTAAATGAGACTACCATCAAGCTCACATCCGATGAAACGGCGGCGCCTCGAGATGACCCTCGTTTTGTGATATGGGGCGAGGTCGTACCGAGCGCCGCCGTAGATCCGGAACTTCAGTCCATGTCACCGGGCAGTAGAACGGACACCTCGTCGCAGCAGTCGGTTATGTCCAGGAAGTTGAGTATGAAGAGTAGGACGTCGTTCCATAATGGTCATGATACGCCTCCGCTCCACGTCGCCACGGAGGGAAGACAGAAGGTTCTTGTAGCTGCCACCATTGAACGCTGGATTGCTCAGCTCACGAGCGAGCTCAACTATGACGAGCTCCTAAACTTCTTCCTCACCTACCGGACGTACGTGAGTCCGGTCGATTTAGCGCAATTGCTGATCTGTCGGTTCCACTGGGCGCTCGGGCCAGCGAGTTCCGCTCACGACGACATGGTCCGACGGATCGTAAGAGTGCGGACGTTTGTGGCGCTGCGGTACTGGCTTTTGACTTTCTTCCCGGTGGATTTCTTGCCGAACCGGGATCTGAGACTTCTCTTCGCGGGTTGGCTGAACACCCTTCGTCGAGATCCCATACTTGGTCGGCATCAGGGTGCACTTGTGAGTACCGCATCACTGTCGCGCCGTGTTCAGCCACGTCTTATGCTGCTGTGACAGAGTATTGTCCGGAAGCTTAGGCAGGTTGTCAAAGAGTGTAAGGAAGCGCACACCAGGAGGCAGAAAGAACAACCCCTAAGGAGGCCTTCTGTCAGCTCGACTGCTAAGCAGTTCCCGAAGGCAGGTCAATCACTGGGAGATCTTTCTGACGGTCGCAAGTTCGCCGAGTCTCTCAGGAAAGCAGTTGCAGAGGGCGATGACGAGTCTGACGTTGATCTGGACTTTGGAGTGGACGAGGGCGTGATAGTCTCTCTTCCGCAGGGCTTTCCGAGTCAGAAAGACGTGTCTGGCAGCGGAAGCGGGCAGCCTTCTGGCCAGAATGCGGGATCACCACCTTCAGTTCCTTCAGCATCTCTTGCCGTGCTGCAGCAGCCGTTGCAATTGACTATCCTACAACACGCTAACGCGACCGCGACGGACTCTCCCTTTGTGGAAACCCCTGCGACCTTACCTGTGCACCACAGCACGCTGTCACGTGTCCTCGTGAAGACTATTGGCAGACTAGGGAGGTGGAAGCGGGTGCTGAACCAAAGATCTTCTGCACTGGTGTCTAGTTCCACTTCTGCGGACGTGTCTGCCTTCGACCTCGAGCTCAACATGTCTGGCGATCTCTTGAATGTCCCTGGAGGAGTGGAACAATATCTGAAGATGATTGAGCAGCCGGAGCCAGATTCTAGTGTGAACGGGCAGAATGGCACCGCTCTGCCCGATGGGAACTCTAGCTCGCTGGGTGTGCAGGAGTCTGCAGACCAAACCGACTCCTCATCGATGTTGGCACCGCGCTCATCGGTGGACAGTGCCATGTCTTCGGACACGTATTCTACTAGTATGTCGGAAGAGACAGACTACGGCGTGCCGATATCACATTTGAGGTCAGTGACAGAAGCCTCGGACGAGTGCGTGCAGGAGTCTCCGGGCGAACCGGTCCAGGGGGACCTAGAACAGCTGGAACCACGGGCGGAGTCTGTCTCGTCAAACCCTCGCCGGTCCTTCGAATCCTATACTTCGTATAACTCTCGCCGAACAACTGGTTCAAGATATCGCCGTCAGCAGAAACCCTGGCAACCGCCAATAGATGTCGTGTCCATAGATGACCTCGAGTTCTCCGACATGTCCTCCTCGGATGAGAACGAGGGCCCTTCAGCTCCACCTGGTCTGCGACGTGTTCCCAGGCGTCTGCCGCTCAGGCGTGACTTCGAGTTCGTTCGGCGATCGGGTAGTGTCTCTTCGCTCGGTATCCGCTCTCATTCGTCCATGGCTTCCGAACGGTCTTCGGTGGCTTCATCTGCCTCCGTCGAACCCGCTCTAGGTGGACCTGGTCTTCAACAATGGCAGGTCAATGCGATAGTTGATTCACTAAGTGATGATGATGAAGAGGGCGATGTCGAGGCCGCGTTGCGCAGATTGGAAGGACAGATCAATATCGACGAGCAACGTATGAAGTTGTCGAAAGTCGATGGTTGGGTTCAGACAATGCGAGACCGCCTGCTGAATGGGGACTATCACGATGAACCATCCCGGTTCCCTACTTCAGATAGTGAATCGGACGAGTCTGTCGGTGACTACGAAGGGAGTAGGAGCAGAGCAGGATCTGCTGTCTGGAGCCCGGACAATGCCGACTTTAGTGCGTCCAACTCGTCGGTTTCCCAAGTCTCGGAGCGATCGCAAGACGTGTTGGAACCTGCTTCGCAATCGCTAGAGGGCGAAGCGGTCACTCCTTTGGCCACGCAGACGTCACATAATGTTAGCGACTCGCCTAACGCAACGTCTCCGGTGTCATCCTCGGATGGGAGACCTGCTCCGGAAGATGTCGTGCCCCGCGAGATTTTGCAAAGTAGGCTCCCCTCTCGACCTTCCACGTCGGGAGGCTCCAGAGAACCGGCGAGCGACGGGTTCCCGATATCGTCCCCGACCAATAAATTCATCACGGCTCCCGCCTCGCAGGTCCATCGATCCTTCATTCTAGGTTACAGGGCGGAGACGCTTGCACAACACTTCTCCATGATCGATCGAGAGTTGTTCCTTGCGATCAAGTTCGAAGAGATAGTCTCGGATGACTGGATGGGTTGTCCAAAGGAGGCGGACGTACTTGACTGGAGTCAGTTCCTGCGGGACAGAGCTCGGTGGAAGGCGGAGTCACGAGGAGGACCTAAGACAAGCGCTGTAGTGGCAGCTAGGGGCCGGTTTAATCTGCTCTCCAAGTTTGTGATCTCGGAAGTGATTCTGACGCACCCGCAACATCGCCATCTCGTGGTAGGGAAATTCATCAGGATAGCTTGGGTAAGTAGACTCCGCATTCTGCACGAAGCTTTTCTGACATCTCGCACAGAAATCGTACAACATGAACAATTTCAATACATTGACAGCTATCATTGCCGGACTGCGTAGCGAATGGGTCACGAAAGCAATGCGGCGTTCCTGGGGGCGTGTTGGTGTCTGGGAGCAGCGTATGTTCCAGGATTTGAAGGCTTTCACCTCCCGGGATGACGACTTCAAGCACATCCGGCACGCTGTTTCTTCCATGGTTGAAACGAAGCCAGTGGCAACGAGCTCGCTTGACGTGTCTACCAACGGTCTCACCGATGGACATTCGTCCTCTTCCAGGAGTAGAGCAACCTCCGATACCAAGCCACATTCGCCTGCGGCTTGCATCCCGTTCCTAGGTAAGTCTCCTCCACTCCGTAGTGACGCGCTCTAATATATGCATTTTCAGGCGTCTACCTCGCCCAGATGCAGCGCTACCATAAGCTGCCCGATCTCATAGACCCCACGGCGCCTACGGAGGCCATAGGTATCGATCCCATCAGCGGCAACCTGGAAGCGCCTGCCCACCCGGAAGTGTTCTCTTCTTTGGCACCGCTTCCCGCGTCCATGCAACTGGAGCCTCTGATCAATGTCCAGAAACAAAGGCTCATCGCAGGCGTCATCAAGTCGCTCGTTGCGGGCCAGCATCTGGCCAGCAGAGTGCAGTTCCCGGTGGACCGGAAGATCTTCCAGCGGTGTCTCAAGTTGCGGGGGCTAGATACAGAGACATTGCAGCGAGCTTATACTATGTTTTCTGATTGATCTACGTATACCCCTCTCCCTGATGTGGTATCCCGCCTACTTTATTGTTCCTCTGGGGCTGTAATGATAGAGATGATAGCTGATGCTGTTGTTCGATAGGAAGGATTGTTTTGGGTATAAGTTTTCTGGTTCCGTCCTCGGGCTCTTGTGCTGTCGTATACCATCCCGCAATTGCTAGGCTGTTTGGTGTCACGGCAGACTCGGAAGATTGAATTTAGCTGAGCATAGATTGCCCTCCAGTGTACACTCCTTCGACACTGCGTTCTGCGGGGTGTTTACGCCGCCGTCCTCCTTTCTGACAGTGTTTTGTACTGCATGTCGATCACTGGCACCGAACTCGGTATCAGTGGATTGTCCGCTACTGCGCGTCACTCGATATGCTCGACCTAATGCGGTGAATCAGATGTGCCCGATATTCCGAGTATTAATACAGCATTGTGTATCCCCGACCCTCAGTGCGTGCGGTTCGCCACTCGTTGTAATCGTCGTTCCTTAATCTTGGTATTGTTTGTTTCGGGTGTTGGGAATCGTTTGCTCTTCAATCAGAGGGTACCATTGAAGTTCTGCCCGGATGGAAAGTGAGTTGCATTTGACTCGGGCTTACTAACGTCTTTCCTGCCTCAACCTCCTCCTCTCGAAGCTCGGCCTGACCGACACCGCGTCTCCTCAGCATGTACCTCGGTACCGGTCGCGCAGGGTATACACGTCTGTGTCGACCTTACATAGCGGCGTCGGTGGCCACTTCGGTGACCTCCAGCCAATCAGCACGCGTCGATCGCGTCGCGTTCACGCATTACGTCAGTCTCGCTCTCACCTCCCTGACAAAGCCCAAGTCCACGCCTATAAGTTTGTCCCCAGTGCACTTATAAATGCGCCAGTGTCCTTCCGTCTCCATACTAATCCTAGAAACGTGACGATGGCCATCCCAACCACTACCCGCGAGTACCGTCTCCCCAAGGTACGTGCTGACCGGTCTTTCCAGATATTATTGCGATTGAAGTATCATGCAGTACGATGGCTATCACAACCTGACCATCAAAGAGGCCACGCTGCCCCCGCCCAAGGCGAACGAAGTCCTCGTCAAGATCATCGCCGTCTCGCTGCAATACCGCGACCTCATGGTCTCGAAGGGACAGTACCCGCTCGGGCACAAGGACAACGTCGTCCCGGGCTCCGACATGGCCGGCGAGATCATCGCGGTCGGCGCGGACGTCGCCGGGTTCAAGAAGGGCGACCGCGTCTGCGCGAACTTCGCGCTCGACCACGTCTACGGGGACGTGAACGAGCAGATCAAGAACACGGGCCTCGGCGCGCCCATCGACGGCGTGCTGACCGAGTACAGGAACTTCCCCGCGCATGTGCGTACCGCTTGCTTGCCTTGCCGCTGTACGGCGGACCGCTGAGCTGTTGGACAGTCCTTGGTGCACATCCCCGCGCATCTCTCATACGTCGAGGCCTCGACCCTCCCGTGCGCCGCGCTGACCGCGTACAACGCCCTGAACGGGCCCACGCCCCTCAAGGCCGGCGACACCGTGCTCGTGCAGGGCACCGGCGGCGTGAGCATCTTCGCGCTGCAGCTCGCCAAGGCGTCCGGCGCGACGGTCATCGCGACGTCGTCCTCGGACGCGAAGCTCAAGGTCGCAAAGGAGCTCGGCGCGGACCACCTCATCAACTACAAGCAGACGCCGGACTGGGAGAAGGAGGTGCTGAGGATCACGGAGGGGCGGGGCGTGGACCATGTTGTTGAGGTGGGCGGGCCGGGGACGCTGATGAAGAGCCTGGCGAGTGTAAGGTATGCGGGGTGGGTGCACGTCATCGGCTTCGTCGCTGGGGTGAGTGTAGTTTCCGCCTTTATCTGCCGACTAGACGCTCATTCTGCTGATTTTCAAGGCCGGCGACACATCCAACGCGCCCGTCGTCGCGCTCAGCAAGGCTGCGATGATCCGCGGGATCCTCATCGGCTCGCGCGACCAGTTCGAGGCGATGAACCGCCTGATCGTCGCGAACAAGCTCAAGCCGATTGTGGACAAGGTGTTCAGCTTCGAGGAGGCGCAGGAGGCGTATGCGTACCTCGAGAGCCAGAAGCACGTCGGGAAGGTCGTGATCAAGGTGGCAAAGGATTAGTGCCCCGGTGTAGTAGAGTGTAGGCCAGAAGAAGACAAAATATTGTACCAGTACCAGTATCCCAATTCGACTTTACGTGCTCCGAGGATCTGCAGTACCGCGTGAGGATAGATCTTACGAGAACTCGAGTCAACGTCTAATATCCTTCGGTCTTCATGACAATTGTCCGAAGCAGGATAAGGATAACATACTTATGTAACTACGGGATGCCCAATAACGGGGTAACAAATGTCCGGGCCGGGCACTTACTCCTCCGACCGGGCTGATCGCACCTCCTCGGTCATGCTACGATGTCCTGATTTGGTAAGAGCAGCTCCTTTTCTGGACGAGGCTGGCCATTCCTTCCTCTGCTTCTCTGAAGTGATCCAAAAATAAGTCCTACCACCTGCACGTTTCGTAGTATTAGGAGGCACATTTCAGCACATCTGACGCCACTGTGGACCGTACAGTGATGATATGATACTCGAAAGTATGCCCGAACCAGCAGGAACTACCTCCCTCTGCTATGTATCGGCGAGGCATTGAAGGGTATTGGTACACTGCTATATAATGAGACTCACCACGCCGTCCGGTTCTCTACTACCCCCATTCCTTTTGTCTCCCGAACTTCCCTGCCCAGAGCGATGGCGCTCCCCACAACCTTCCGCGAGTACCGACTTCCCAAGGTGCGTGCCACTTTATTACTCCACAAGGCGAGACTAACCGGCACATGTGAATGAAGTACGATGGCTACCACAACCTCACCATCGTAGAGGCCAGCCTGCCCCAGCTGAAGGCAAACGAAGTCCTCGTTAAGGTCGCCGCCGTCTCCCTACAGTACCGCGACCTGCTCGTCGCGAGCGGGCGGTACCCAGCCCTGTGCAAGGACAACGTCGTCCCCGCGTCCGACATGGCCGGCGAGATTGTTGCCGTGGGCGCGGATGTCCACGGATTCAAGAACGGCGACCGCGTCTGCGCGAACTTTGCGCTCGAGCATGTATATGGGGACGTCAACGAGCGCATCAGAAACACGGGCTTGGGCGCGCCGATCGATGGGGTGCTCACCGAGTACCGCGCATTCCCGGCGTATGTACGTATCGCTCGTCTTGCGGAGAGATGGTTTCTCAGCTGAGGCGATGCGTGTAGTCCCTGGTGCACATCCCCGCCCACCTCTCGTACGTCGAGGCGTCTACCCTCCCCTGCGCTGCCCTGGCAGCGTACAACGCCCTGAACGGCCCCACCCCGCTCAAAGCGGGCGACACCGTGCTCGTGCACGGGACGGGGGGCGTGAGCATCTTCGCGCTCCAGTTCGCCAAGGCATCGGGCGCGACGGTCGTCGCGACGTCGTCCTCGGACGCGAAGCTCGCGCTCGCGAAGGAGCTCGGCGCGGACCACCTCATTAACTACAAGCAGACGCCGGACTGGGATAAGGAGGTGCTCCGCGTGACGGAGGGACGCGGCGTCGACCATGTCATCGAGGTGGGTGGCCCGGGCACGCTGATGAGGAGCCTCGCGAGCGTGCGCTACGCGGGGTGGGTGCACGTTATCGGGTCCGTCGCCGGGGTGCGCGTCGTTCTTTGTTTGGATGCATCTGAGTTTGTGGTGCTAACCATCCGGGTTGGTTGTCCAGGCTGGAGACACGTCCCATGCTCCGATCGCCGCGCTGAAAAAGGCTGCCATCATCCGCGGCATCCTCATCGGCTCTCGTGACCAGTTCGAGGCGATGAACCGCCTCATCGTGGCGAACAAGGTCAGGCCTGTGGTGGACAAGGTGTTCAGCTTCGAAGAGGCCAAGGAGGCGTACGCCTACCTGGAGAGCCAGAAACACGTCGGCAAGATTGTGATCCAGGTTGCGAAAGAATAAAGCGGTGCGGTGAAGGAGGAAGTTGAATCTTGCATCACTAGATGTACCAGTAACATCATGCACGCCGCGAGTATATGAACTTCATGAGGGTCGATGTATGTCGCGATGAGTCGATTCTGGCTTCTGCTGGGCATATTTTGACGTTATTCACCCCTTTCATGATCGTCTCAATCATAATCCACCTGAGATTTCTAGACGCAACATCACGTACCTTGAGCCATAAGCCTTTTAGCAGGCACATGACCATCTAACTTGGCAGACCTAGAAACGGTTATGACATGACTTACCTCAGGACCTGGGGTTGTGGGCTAGGCTAGTGCATATTTCCGATACAGCATAGGGAAGTCCCCCCTTAGCCCGCTTTTGGAAGTGAACCCCACCCAAACGAGTAGCTGGGGCGCCGCAGCAGTGGTAAACCACGTGCGTGGACCTTGCCGAATATACGGCAAGGAACTTCGTGCTGTTGACTCCTCGTTGTGCTCGCAGTACTTTAACCTAGTAGTTGTAATTTGTCCTGTAGATAATGTACCAGGGGGAGCTACTGAGCTTTGGGACTCCCCATTGACAGTAGGAGACAGTCTGAAAAGCTACAGTTCTCTCAGCGTGATTTTTGATCCCAGTAAGGCTTCTACTGGGCCACATTTAGTGCGTCGACCCCCCCACTTTAAAGGAATTGTGTACATGAGGTTCTATGCGCTCTTGCGCATTCAGCGCGTATGTTATAGGCAGTATAACCCTCGGTGTGTTGAGGATACGATGTGAAGTCAGTCTTCACCCCTTCACCGTGACGAGACACGCTCGGGTATATACGGATGTATTCCCCTCGTCCCCTTTTCCTTTCCCTCAGTCGTGCTACAGACGGCTGAGGTGAGTCTCGCATCCACACAGTACTGTCCATCATGTACCTGACATAGTGTTAGATTCACTGTTTCTAGGTACATACACCGCTATATACACAGTCGTGCTACAGACGGCTGAGATTCACTGTTTCTAGTTTCTACAGGTTATGAGCCCCTGAAGACTTGTGTTCTCGCAAACCGAGTCACGGAAGCTTTTTACTTTTGAATCTCGGACTGATCTGCATCCGAGGCGCCCACTCACGCGCGCATTCCCCTCGTTTTCGCGTCTCATTTCTCATCGACGCGCGCCAAGCAGCCTTCGTCTCTTGTTTCTCTTCGTCACTTTCCGTCCGTAATGACCCTTGGTCGTGATCTCACTAAAGCTATGTCTGGCGAACTGCCCAATCTCAGTCTCCCTAGCGGCTCTGACCTCGGCGTGGCTGACCCTGATACCAAACCTCCCCTTGCCCCTCAGCCTCTCATTCCCCCTCGCCTCGTGGCTCCTTCGATCCCCGTTATACCCATTCCCCCGACCCTCTTGGCTGCTTCGAATGCAATCATACTTGATCTAACGAAGAACAACTGGCCGGACTGGTCCCATCAAGTTGAACAAACCCTCCGCTTGTCGGGCCTCGCCGGGTATATCGACGGTCGTATTGCTCAGCCCACCGCTACACTCGATCCTATTGGGGCTAACAATTGGCTCTCCAACAACGAGGCTATTCTCGGTTTCTTCAGTCTTCGTGCTGTCAAGGAGGAGCGCCGCTTCATCGACAAAGCCGGCACTGCCGCTGCTGCTTGGGCAGCTCTTCGCATTCGCCATGAGAAACAAGGCCCTCTAGCTCAGATCTTGCTCATCCAAGAAGCGTTTGCCGTTCGGTACTCTCGCTCTGAACGCTTCGCCATCACTAGCAACCGCCTTTCGGAGTTGGTCAAGCGCATATATGCTATCGGTATCCCCACCGAAAGTGCATTTCTTTCCATTGTGATGCTGAACGCCTTGTCTGCCGACTTGCCCGGCGTCCGAGACCATGTTGCGACTGCTATGGCTAATGCTACGTCCGACCGCCCCGTCACTGCCGATGATATTCGCGTCCGCCTCGACTATGAGCAACAACTGGTTGACAACGCCGCCGCCTCTGCTAGCCCTATCGAAGTCCTTGCTGCACAGTCCGCCGCGTCCCGGGCCAAAGGAGCCAAGAAGATTTGCTCTCACTGCAAGGCTACCGGTCATCTCGCCGATACTTGTTGGGCTCCCGGCGGTGCTATGGCCGGTCGCCGCGAGGAGGTTCTAGCTGCTAAGCGAGTGCGGTCTAGTACTGGCAAACTCCCGCCTGCTTCATCATCCTCTGCTCCGGTACCTCGCCCTGCTACCTCTGGCTCTGGTCCCAGGCGCGATGATTCTGGTCGCGCATTCCTCCTCGACAGCGTTACCGGTGAAGCATTCTATCTCGCCGACACTGGGACCCCTTCTCTCGCTTCGCTTGCCTCGCAGACTGCCGAACACACTGTCCTTCACACTGAGTCTTTCTTGCCGTCTCCTGACTGGCTGGCAGCCTACCATGATACTATTGGTGATCGCTTCGAGTACGAGAGCTACCTCACCCTTCTGGCGGACTTTGATTGCAGCGTCGACTGGCGTGAGCAGAGGAGAATGGACATTGCCCTTGCCTCCCTGGAGCTCGAGCCTATCAACTCGATGTCCCGTTCGCGCGCTCCTCTCCGCAATGCGGCCTTGTCACCATATCTTCTGGACACGGGAGCAACAGCTCATATCTCACCTGAACGTAGTGACTTCTTTGAGCTTCGACCTCTCCCTGCCAGTCTGATCAAGGGCATTGGCGGTTCTTCCATCCATGCAGTCGGCATCGGCAAAGTCAAACTCCATGTCGCTCGCGGCATCACGCTCGTCCTCAACGATGTTCTTTATGTCCCTCAAGCGACTGTTCGCCTCATCTCCATTGGCCAGCTCACCTCCAGCGCTAATCTCGTTGCCCATTTCAGTGGCACGTCTTGTTGGCTCACCAAGCCCAACGGCACACTGGTCGCTCGAGGACCCAAGATGTCCCGTAAACTCTATCGCCTTGATGGGCCTCCCCCCTCTGTGGAGTATGTCAATTTTGCTGCTCGCGTCCCTGATATTGCTACCTGGCACCGCCGACTTGGCCACACCAACCCTCGCTCTATTGTTGAAATGGCCACCAAGCGTCTTGTCGAAGGTATGCACATCGACATATCTCACGAACCCCCGAAATGTGACCACTGTATCCTCGGGAAACAGGTCAAGTCTTCAGTACCTAAGGTTCGCGAGGGGGAGAAGGCTGCCAGGGCGTTAGGAATTGTGTACGCTGACCTCATGGAGGAGTCTATTGTCTCAGCTTCGGGCAACAAATATGTATTAAACCTCATCGACGATTATACATCATTTCCTTGGTCCTTGCCCTTACCTTCGAAAGACGCCGCCTTCAAGCAGCTTCAGGACTGGGAGCGCGCCCGCGAGCTTGAGACGGGCTCCAGAGTTGGAATATATCGTACCGACAATGGCGAACTGAAGAGTGATAAGATGGCCGCTTGGCTTGCGTCCCGCGGTACCCAACACCAATTCACTGCACCCCACGTTTCCGCTCATAATGGTCGTGGCGAACGCATTCACCGTACTCTTCGGAATAAGGCGCGTACTATGCGTATTCAAGCTAACCTCCCTGAAAACCGCTGGGATGAATTCATGCTCACCGCATGCTACCTCACCTCCCGCACGCCCTCCCGCTCTATTGTCGGGAAAACTCCCTATGAAGCATACTATAAGAAGAAGCCAAACCTGTCCCACTTGCGCGAAATCGGCTGTCGCGCCTTCGTTCTCGTTGAGAATACATATAATCCCAAAGTTAAACCGCGATCCATCGAATGCGTTCTCATCGGATACAGCCCTAACTCCAAAGCATACCGTTGTTACCACCGCCCTACTCACCGCATTATCACATCTTTTAACGTTCAGTTTATTGAATCTCATGAAGCGATTTCCCGCCTCGTTCATCCCGGACGTGTCCTTGGCGACGACTCATCTCCTTCCCCTCAAGACACCTCAATTCCTCAAGTTCCTTCAAGTTCTACGGATCCCTCGAGTTCCCCAACCTCCTCAAGCCCTCAGGACACACCCACACGTGCTGATACCTCAAACCCCCTTGGTCTTCTCGACGTCCCCGTTGACAGCTCATCCTTTTTCACTCCACCCGCGCCCATCCCTCTCCCTTCCTCTCCTATCCCTCTCCCGGATGTGACCTCTTCGGCCTCCGCAGCTCCTGTTCCAACATCTGTCACAGTCAATCCTCCCATTTCTCCCGCTCATTCCGATCCCCTGGATGCTGGCCTTCCCGCTTCCCCCCTTCGTCACTCATCCCGTGTCCCCATTCCCAGCGACAAATGTGCCCTAGCCAACGGTCTTCCAAAAGCTGACCCCGTCCAACTCGCTGCTGCAGAATCTCGGGCTATCGGGGAACGTCTTCGCCAGGAACGTTTGGAACGCCGCAATGCTTCTGCCATCGAACCTCCCACCATCAACGAAGTACTCTCTATGATCCACGAGTCCTTCGCTGCCCTCCAAGATGGTCCTATCGACGTTGAATATCCGGACGATCCTAAAAACCTCAAGGAAGCTATGGCCTCGACTGATGCCGCCGAATGGCACTCAGCTCTTCTTGAGGAGTTTGCGTCTATTAAGGAGCTCGGTGTCTACAAGCTTGTTCCTCCTTCCGCTGTCCCTCCTGGTCGGAAACTTATGCATGGCCGCCCTGTCTTCCGCCTCAAACGTGACGCTAACGGATCTCCCGCACGCTACAAAGCACGCTACGTCTGTAAAGGCTATGAGGCTGTTTTCGGCCTTGATTACGATAAGACCACTTCCCCTACTATGCGCATGGAATCCTTCCGAGTTCTCCTCCACCTTGCTGCTGCCCTCGACTGGGACGCTCAGCAAATTGACATCAAAACAGCCTTTTTGTACGGCTTACTCCCTGCTGGCGAAACTTGCTATATGCAACAACCAACAGGTTTTGAGGAACCCGGCAAAGAGGACTGGGTTTGGGAACTCCAGAAGGGTCTCTACGGCATGAAACAGGCTGGTCGTATCTGGAACCGTACCATGCACGACCGCATGACTGAATT